TATTTCTGTTTTATATTTGAAATACTTTTGTTGTTTTAGTTTATTCCTTAGTTATTTTAGTTATTTTTATCTTAGTTCTAGGAATACAACTTATATATTTTTTTTAACACATTTCTTAACCACTCATTCATGTTAAGTCAAGTAATATTCTTGCTTGATTTAACTAGTGACAACATATTTATTAAATAAATATTTAGAATCTAGTTAGGTTAAGCAACCATATTACATTATCTTGGCTTAGTAATCTCAGCCAACCCTAATATTATATGGCCTCATACAATTAGTAATGAAGATCAGTCACTAGAATTAATCTTATCTTAGTATTCTAAATATCTAATTTTTAAAAAACAACTTAGACAATCTAATATTATGTATCTTGAACAACTTTGCATAGCTGACAACAGTACCTTATTAGATTGGAAACATCTTTTATCTAGACTTTTATTCTTGTCTAAGAGAAGAAAACCTTTTGGTTTTCTTACTTAAAAGATACAATTTTAGCACACTCTTACTACTAAAATGTACTACCATACTACCAATCACCTGGTCATAACCCTTATGCTTATTATACTATTAATATATTTAAAAAAGTTACAAAATCTAAACTTTGGTTACTTTCATATTACAATGAAGAAATTATTATTAGAAAAATATGAAAATACTTTCTTTCATCTAATCATTATTTTATTACTTACTGGACTTCCAATATAGATTTAAATTACTCAAAATTCTATCCTTTACCTCTTGCTGAATACAAATGATGTACAGGATGCCATCTTAATTCTTACAAAATTAACTAAACTTATACTGTTGAAGTCTTTGCAGTTATTTCAACACAATTTCTTGACAGAACTAATTCCAAATACTAACTCAACCTCAATGCAAATTATTTGGACCTTATCTGCTCTACAGCTGTCAAGCATCCAACCTGTATTTCTTCTCTATCTATAATTCCTATTTCTAATTCAATCGCTTCTGAAATCTTTATTCCAAATGAAACTACCAACAAACTCATATCTATCTCTTAATATAACTACTCTTACTAACAACTATTCTTTTATACTGATGGCTTAGTAATCGATATTGGAATTGATTAATGTATAATAGGTATTGGTTGGATCCAAATTGATAATAATAATCAAACTATTAACTTCTTTTTTACTAAAATACAATTCTGGCCTTCATCATATAAAGCTAAGTTTTTCTCAATTATTATTACAATATCAACAGCTTCATGCAATTTAGTAGTCAATATTTTTATTGATTCTCAATCAGTAATCTTCAAATTTAATAACCTTCAACTTTACTTAAATCATTCTAATAAGTTATTCAAATTTAATTTATGGCCTATTTGGCATACTCTTTCTAATATGTATTATCAAATCATACAAATTACAAATTATCTTTTACAAAGTGCAAATTTATTCAGATAATAATCTTAATGATCAAATAGACTCTTTTGCCAAACAATATTCATCATCACTATTTTTTTTATTTAATTATACAAATTTTTACAATCCTTATTATATTTTTCAATAGAAGTAACATTATATAGAACTTCCTACAAGATATTTTATTAAGCAAATATATAAAATCTACATATTAACTATATGGTCATCTCAAAAATGTAATAGTAAGTAGTCATACTTCAATCAGAATATTGACTAGAGATTCACTTGGCTTTATTTTAATCATAATCAAAAATCCTTATACAATATTACTAATTTTAGACTTAATCAACTAAAATCCTTTAAAATTAAAACTCTTCTTAATAAGTTACCAACATACTAACTATTTCATACTATTTATCCAAACCAATATCCAGATATTAATTACTTTTATTGTAACCTTGCTAACTTTTACTCTTATTGGCATACTTGTACTAATACATTTTTGTTTAACTAAATCATTTAAATATTTATTAATCAAATCATCTTTAGCAAATTACCTAATCTTGATACTTACCAAAAAAATGATCTAATTCATAAAATCCTTTACTACCCAGCTCTTAATTTTTTATACATCTTATCTAACATGTTTTATTCTAAACTTACTCTTAAAAGTCTTATTCCAAAGTTACTTATATCAATAGTTTAAAACTTTGATATATCATACAAAACTGCCTCCTAAGTTATTATTGATATTCTTTTTAATATTAACAAACAATCATATAAACAATTATGAAAAACATATTATATTCATTTCTCTAACTGAAAAAAACAACAAAATAAACCCTAATCTCAACCAATCATCAAACTTTTAATATTATCTAACTTAGCAACTAAATATATACATTTTTATAAAAACTATACTTATTCATGCTTCTGCAGACTTCCAAATCAACTACATACTTATTCTAACATATGCCCTCCTATCAATCAAACACAATTTGCAAAATTAACATTTGGTCTATTCTATGAATCAAATATAACATATCATCAAATTATATATTAAACATTCAAATCTAAATGAGTTTTGACCATTTTAGTAGGTTTAGGTTGCAAATAAATTAGTCTGAGTTTTTATTCTTACATATAATTTTCAATTTATTTGTTTTGTACAAATAGTAATAGCTGTATAGTTAGCAGTTTAATGATTAATTTTAACTGCAAATGTTGACTTTGATCATAACATATATATATATAACTATTTTAAATTATTAATAAAGATATAAGCAAGGCCTTACCTTAATACCAAAAAAAAAAAATTAAGTACAAAAAACTTTAAAAAATTTATCTTATAAATAAAATAGTTCTAAGATTGAAATAATAACCTGAATATGACCCAGCAATATTAACATAGGTGCAGGTTTAGAAGGTTTAAAATGGAACATTTAAGCAGAAATGTTAGGTATAATAATTAGTGAAAAACCTTCAAGCAGACTTCTTAAATAGGTAATATAGAAAAATTACATGTATAACCAATTGTACACTCTTTTTGTAGTGGTTCATAAAATCACATTATCAAAAAAGTTATTAATAAAAGTCAAAAGACCAAAAAGATCACCTTAACACCAAAAAAAAAATTTAAATAAGTAATCATCAAAAAATCAATTAACATGACTAATTATTCATAATATTTGAATGATTTTAACTTTAACATCAATTATTTGTATAAAATTATTAAGATATCTATTATTACATTAATCATATCATTCTGGTACTAAATAATCCATATCTTTAAAATTGGTTGAAAATAAATAGTGGAATTAATGATCCCGACGTTGTTAAAGGTGCATCAACGCAGAAATTTTTATAAAACAATATGAAAAGGATGGACCAGTAAATGTTCCAATGGACAAAGCGTAAATAATAATAATAATAATAATTGGCTAGTCGCTCATAAACAATGTTCCGAATGGGTCATGCAAGGACCCTACCCAGTGTATTAAAATCCAAATTACAAAATATGTGCACAAGTTAAAATTTTATATGTAACTTTTACAAAAAATATGTGCACTGAGAACATTGATTTTATACACTGGCCCCACCCAAACATGAGTCGGGTTGGGTTGAAAACCTTCGGCTTACAGCTATTCTCATAAATTGATACTAAATATTTTTCGAGATCTCTTCGATCTTGTACTAAAATAATAAAACTTTTTGAAATTTACGCCGCTTTCTTTAGGGCCTCGTCCGACGTAATTTCAGAAAAGTTAGGTGATTCTTAAGATCGAAAAGGTCTCTGAGGAGCGAGTAAAGTCCCCATTACTGCGAGCTTCAACTATTTGAGTGTTTTGGAGGTCATGGAATGCGAAGTTGCAAGTTCAGAACCCTTTTATCTGTTCAAATTCGGTTAAAAACAATAATAATTCGTAAAATTATAGCAATTAATCGATGATGACTATAATTATTCTATAGATTTAATACATAGATTTAATACATAGATTTAATACAAATTTTATATTTCATATCTCTGAATATGTACGATATGAAGAGTGTCTGCTTAGTAAACAAATATTTTTTATTTGCATCTTTTCGAGATACAGATCTTCCAGCACCAAACGATATGTACTAAAAAAAAAAAAACATGTTAAAACAATTTTCACATACATCTCATTTTCTATTTGCACTTCCTTCTGAAATATTTATTTTCCTAAATCACCAAATCGTCACATACCTTGTGTTTGTAAAATAATTTAGATTAAATTGGCCCAAGGATCCTCAAAAAATGATTCCTTATAGTATTGCTTTATGTCGATCTGAGTTATATCAATATTCGAACCGATCTGAGTTATGCCAACATTTGAATCGTTCAATCGAAGTTTCTAAATCATAAAAATTTTGTAGCACATAAAGATAAAATAGATAAAATAAAACATATTAAAATACCTTTGGTGATCTGTAATAATTGTTTGATTTATACCCATGACGTGGTGGTGTATATGTATTATACTCATAGACTTGACGTTCTCTTCTTCGGTATGTTTTATATGCAACATAGTTAGTGTCCATGGTTTTACAGAATTGGACAGCAAAAAATAAGTTATATATAAAAAATATAAAATAAAAATAATTACTCTAAAGAAACTGTGTCTGTTAGTCGGATTTACATACTTATTTCCCCATCGTTCCTATTGGACGAATAGGATTCCTGCTTTTGATTGGACGAAATATATATATATTGCTATTACTTATAAAAAGTTTAATTTTAAAAAAAATACATATCATTCTTTACAACAGTTTCTTAAAATTTTGTTTTTTTTTTTCCATTTTGACACAGCAAATTACAAAGATGCTATTATATTTCTCAATTTGAAATTTACATGTAATTCGAAAATTCAAACAAATATAATCTTTTATAGGGAAATACTAAACAAGGTCAGTGATTTACGCTCTATTATAACGGTTATTTTCTAAATTGGTAAAATGAATGTGCCATCCCATATTTTTTCTGTTCATATCAATATCGATATTTAAAAAAAATTCTATTCACACAACATAATTAACTTTTAATTACAATGCTGAATAATAAATTTTGTTTGTTGAAAAGTAAAATCTTGCAATACAGAGAGATTTACCCTTTGTTTTTAATTTTTTCTTTGGATTTTTTATTTTTCAATTTAGATTTGGCAAGTTTAGACTTGGAAGATTTAGACTCGGAAGATTTAGACTCGGAAGGCTTAGACTCGGAAGACTTAGATTCCACAGATGCTGAATTCACAGATTGTTGTTTATCAGTAGTTTTTCTTCGCTTTATAAAAGCTTCCTGAATAAATATCAAATAATTAAGTGATAGAGCGCAGTTGAAGGGTATAAATATCAAATAATTAAGTGATAGATCGCAGTTGAAGGGTATAAATTTCATAATAATAATTGGCGGAGAAGTATATATTATTGGATAGTTAATATGACCATGTGAAGTTTTTTCTGTGATGTTTGCAAAACTGATTACGTAATTTCATGTAAAAAATATACATGCCAAAAAAATTCACATCATCATATGAAATGTCGAATAATTACTATTACTTTTATATAATCGAAAGTCTCTGGCAATATGTAAAAATAATATAGTCATGAAGGGAAAATGTCAATGACTCGCGATCTACTAAGCAAATTTTAATAATACTACCACTATCAGAACTAGAATAATTTGCTCTATGATCTTTGTTAGAAACTCCTTTAACTGCGATTTACCTCTTAAGGAATATAATAATTTAATAATTTAAAAAAAAAAAGTATAATGTGAAATTATCAAATACATACATAACCAGGAAATTCATAATCTATCCCACATTCTTCCAATCTTTTTCGTTTTTTACTTTCTTTTTTCAACAAATTATCAACTTGCTTTTTCTGTTCTTCTGGAGTTTTTTTTTTATTATGTTTCATCATAATTTCTTTTATATAAGGTTTTGGTTTAAATTCTTTATTTGCTCCGATCCACATCATTGGGTTGATTTTTTCTTCTGGCACAATTTTACCTGAAGACAAAAAAACATTATCATTAAATAAATAAATAATTAATTTTAAAATTTTATTAAAAAAAAGAGATCACATACACCGAAGTAGGCGATTGCACAGAGGATAATTATCCATTGTTTCGACCACGATTTGTGCGACTTCATCGCAAGCAAACTCAATGAATGCAAAATGCTTTGACTTTCCAGTCTAATTTGGTGTAAAAAGAACTTGGCAGTTAGTATTTATCGAAATTTACTAAACAAAAAAAAAAAAAAAAAAAAACCTTTTTATTTCGATACAATTTCAAACGTGTCACTGTACCAAATTGACTGAAGTATGATTTCATTTCATTTTCGTAAAAGCCATGAGGTATCCTACCGAGGTAAATGACACCACGTTTCATTTTAAATTGAGAAAAAATAGATAAAAGATTGCAATTTCGCAATAGATGGAACTTTTGATTTTTACGGAAATCACGGGATGATAATTCATGTGGAATATTGGCCAATCAAAATTTTAAAGCCAATGTACGTATATATTATCGAATCTATATAATTATTCCACATATACATCTCTACACAAGAGAATGCATACATTATGTGCCTTACGAACCTTTGGTATGCATTATTTTATCCATTTTATTAATACTTGTTGAGTATAACTTCTAAAATTATTTGGCGTGATATATTTTATATAAATACAGTCAGACCTCTCTAAATGCACACCCTCGGGACCATAGTAAAAAATTTTTTTTTAAAAAAAAATGCATTTAGAGAGGTCAAAATCTATAATTGTTATATTACTTGGGATCATGCAGAGGTGTGCATTCAGGGAGGTCTGACTGTAGCATCATAAATAATATTTTCACGAACAGGTCACGTATTGACTAGAAATTTTTCGCCGTTGACGCGACATTATACAAGTGACGCGCAAAAAAATGAAGCTATGGTTCCAAAACGCACACCACCGACTAGACGGGCATTGTTCTATGGTACTAAAAATTATGAATCTGATAAAGAGTAGTCTATGGTTAGTTATATTAAAACTCTATCCATTCGTTATGATATTTTATAGTTCCAGGTAGTGAAGAACGTAAAATCAAAAGCTCTCTAAATGTCACCGCGGACAGTATCGTATATGATTTAGAAGATGGCGTTGCACTTAATAGAAAAGGTATTGCGAGAGAAATGGTTTTCGATGCTTTAGGGGTAATAACAAACTTCTGTTAATTATAAGTATAATTAAATTTATCAAGTATTTAACTTTATTATCTTTTTTAGGCATCACTGGCCAATGAAAAATCAGAGAAAGCTGTTCGAATAAATGCTGTTGGTTCAGGTAAAAATATAATTCAACTGTTTCTGTATTGGTATTAGTTTTCATAATTGGCATGTCGACATTATATCAAAGGCATGGAGCTAGATGATCTTAATGTTATAGTAAGTTTATTATAATTAAAATATAATTCTATCATAATATTCTTCACAGAATTAATCAAAATTAATGTAAACTATTTAGCTTCGTTCGAAGGATCTCGAGGGCATTGTTATACCTAAAGTTAGGTCAGCGGACGACATTAAATTTGTTAGCCAAATGATAGATTTAATAGCACCTGATGAGAGGTAAGATGAAATAAGGTTTAATTGATATTAAAATATCAATACATTATGTACAATTTCTAGTTTAAATGTTATAATATAGTCGGTCTAAAATTCGTTTACTGGCGTCAATAGAAAGTGCTTTGGCCATTATGAATATTAAACAAATCGCAACATCTGATCCTAGACTTGATGCGCTAATCGTAAGGCCCTATTTCTGAATTTGTAATCAGTTTTATAATGATAGTTTGTGAATTTACCAATTCATTATTTGTGCATAGTTTGCTGCCGAGGATTATTGCGCAGATGTTGGTAAGAATTGATGATACCTTATATATGAAAGTAGAAATAGCAGATTTATTATTTATTTATTAAGGAATTGTAAGAACGCGATCACGGAAGGAAATGTTGCTAGCGCGACAGACCATAGTAACGGTCGCCAGTGCTTATGAATTGCAAGCAATTGATCTGGTAGCTCGAACTATTACTATTTGTATAAATTGTTATTTTTCTTTTTCAGTTTACAAGTTGACTCTATATTAAGTGGTGTGTTTTTGTTTGCTACATAGGTTTGCGTCGATTTTAGGAATGATAGTATCCTGACAGAAGAATGTCAGGAAGGCCGAGAAATGGGCTATCTTGGAAAAGTAAATAATTAAAATTAATATCATTAGAGCATTATTATAAATTCCATTATGACCGTGATTATGTCTTTAAAATTATCATAATATAGCAAGCAATTCATCCGCGTCAAGTCGATATTATACAAAAAATGTTTTTACCTGACATGCAAGGTATGATAGATTTATCTCTATTTGATTTCTGATAAGTACTTAATTACACTATGGCACATAGATGTAGAAAGAGCTGCACGTATTGTTTATGGTTACGAGCAACATTCTAAAAAAGGAATTGGGGCGTTTGACTTGGATGGCAAAATGTATGTAATCTTACCTTTTCTTTCTAGCCTGGAGCTCACAAAAATTTATTTATAGGATTTAAATCATAAATATAATCTGAATTTTTATGGGCTCCGGCATAATTTATTTTATATATTAAAATATGTGGATTTTTTGGTAACAGGATTGATCTCCCAATGGTCAAATGGGCAGAACGAATACTTGCAAGGGCGGAATAATCATTCCTGAAATAAAAGATGAAAGTAATATTGAAGCATAGTGAATATTTATGTATACATTATATTCATTAAGTTGTGAAATCGAATATTATATCGTTATATAAACTACAGATTAGTTCACTCAAAGTTTCATTGGTAACTGATAATCAGGCCACAGATTGATTGATAACTATAATCATGTGATCGTGATATGTTTACACAAGTTCTACATGACAAATAAGATTGGCGCCAAGGCACCAATAGCATACAGACATTATACTGTTATATAAAAAAACATCGCGTGTAGAAAGCACGTTTATCATAGTCGCAGTGCATAGAACCAGGGATAGATTGAAAAGCAGGGAAAGATCAGAATTTGTTTTTCGCCTATCTTTGATATTCACGTTGCAATCTCAGAAAACGTGAGGAGTTCCTTTACAGAGTAATTGTTTAAAAACCATGCATGTATTTTGGGCGAGCAAGCACGCACGCACGCACGTTGATAGATTTTTTTTTTTTTTAAAAAAAAAACTATGGAATCATAATGTTGCAAGAAACTAACATATTAAGACATAGTATATATAGTACAATTAAAAAATTTTCTCAACGATCAGCCAATTGTCTTATGTAAATAAAAAAAGAATTCTGATCCCTTGTGATTTTGATGATTTTTGGAAATCTGCTGAGACACAAACGCCTGAAAAAACGGGGAAAATTTTTTTTCTCAATTTATACAGTGTAGCCTCAATTTATAAAGTATTTTGTACTGTCCGTCCTTTCTCCCCGAGCCTTTTTTTTTTTATCTTTTTTTACCTTCTCTTGATAAAGTATAAAGCTACTTTGAGAACTTTGAGAGCTTTAATACCTTGATTTTTACAGTAAATCAAAAAAAAAAAGATACCATTTAATAGAGTTTCGTATTTCTTTTTTCAGTCAATTTGGGTAGTATTCGCTGCGTGATAAAAACCCTAAGAAATATCTCAACAAATAATAAATAGCTATCAAAAAATTTAAATAAACCTGGCGTTATAAAAACAATTTGATAGAGACAGTTATAAAAAAAGTATGTCACCTCGTACAAATTCACCTCCACCTTCGTCTTACGGTTTGGACGATAATATCGAGTACGCAGAATATAATCCCGGTTCTTCTTATTGTCCGTCAACGCCGGCAGGAGGACAGTCTTCGAATATAAATAACCAATTTTATTCAACACAATGTCCAGTATCACCGCATTCCACTCCATCTTTGAGTAGAAGCGGCATTACAGATGCTACGGCTACTCGAGCTCGAGCTCGAAATGGCTCACGTAAGGCCAAGAACAATAGTGCAGGACTCTCCGCACTTTTACCTCGAACCCTAAACTTGCCACGCAAAATACTTTCTTCTTCCGCAGTACAATTCTTTACTCTAATTGTGATATATTCATTTTGCATAACAACCATTTGTTTTATATTCTGCGCTTCATATTTCCTTACTCTCTATGATGACACCCGGAGGATGCTCCGAAATTCACGCGCTTGGGCCAAAGTAAAAAGTGGTGTAAGAGAAAAGATCTCTATGTTAGGTGATGATTGGGATGAATTTCTGCAAAACTACTTCGATCAAACTTGTGATGCGAACAAGAATAGTCACCTTGGCGGTGCGAACATGAATAATCATGGACAGACTTCCTCCGAAGGAGGGCAAGATGAATGGGAAGAATGGTTAAAGTGTACAATGTTTAAATTTATTACTGTGGTCGCAGGACAAGACGCCACAATTAAATTCCAACAATCAGCTGCTTCATTCCAATCTACATTTTTTGCTCGTCCAACAACAGCAGCTAGTGATGGCGGAAAAAGATGAATGAAATTTAATATATTATTATGTATGTGCATATATATATATAATTTGCATTTATAACAAAAGGTTGCAGGCGATCAACCATTAGGTTAACTTTTAGAATATTAAAACAAATATAGCAGATATCAAGGTTATGTTTTCATACGTATCACGAAATAAGTGTTACATTTCTATTATATATATATCTTTGTTACATATTTCTATCTAATAACATTTATTTCAGTAAAAAAAAAAAAAAAAAAAAAAAAAAAAAAAAAAAGGATGAAAAGTAGCATCTTCATCTAATTTTTATACCTATAGTCAAGTATATAGTAAAAATTTTTAATTTCTTCCTTTTTTTTTGGCTTAATAAAATTTAAACATATGTAAATTATGATATCTAGAGCATTTATTGGGACTATAATGTATGGATTACTTATCTTTACTGGGGACGTCTAAAGCGGTGTAGATTCTTATGATCTATATTTTATTGAATTAACTTTAGGGTTATGGTCATACGTTAGGGTTATGTTAGGTTTTCGGTGGTAGTTATATATAAGCAAAATTGCTTTCCCGGCATTTTAATCAACCTACCCAAGGTAGATTTGGACTGCTATTTTTGTATTTTTCAGGGTTTTCGTTTTTGTTTCTTTTATTGCTTCACCGGGAATATATCACGTGATTATAGTCTGCTTTGGAACCCCGTTGCTTGCAGAATTTACAGGACTGTTCTAATTTGCGTGTACTAAAATCATTTTTTTATAGATCTTAAAAAATTGGCCAATCAGAATGCAAAAATTATATCACGTTACGCCTGAACCATTCTGATTGGTAATAATGCAATCTTAATACGTATGACCAGAAATTTTTTACAAAAAAAATTTTTTGTAAATATTTTTTCGCCTTTATAGCGTATAAACTTATGGACCAGATTGAAATTTTTTTTTTTACCAAACTATATAAAATTGGGATGTTACTAAGAAAACAGCAGTAGTTACTATGCATATCAAATCTACTAGTCAAAAATATATTATATTAAATTTTTGTCGATCATTTTTATTCTAACTTTTAGAATTATGTAGTTTTAAAACTATGTTAAAACATTTTTAATTTATTTTGTCAATATAAAAGATTAAATGTTTTTTTGATTGTGAATTTTAATAGTAAAATAGTTACAATTTACAAATTTATATTATAAAACTGTAAAATATTTGTATAGAATTCTTAAATGTTATAACATAGTTGTATAATCATATTGTTTAAATATTGTTTACAATTTACAGAATTAAAAAGAATAGTGATCTTAGTGTAATGGTTGGGTTGTTATTTTTCAAGTAGTAGGTTCAAAGTTTAAATTCTATTAGCAATAAAATTTTAAAAAAATAGTTCTATTTAGACAACTTGAATAAGATATTTAAGTTGTAACTTTGTAATTTTGGTTGTATCAAGACTAACTTTAGAAATGTGCAATGTTATATAAATAAATTCAGAAAATATATACTTTATAAAAAGTCTTGTTTAGAAATTCTAAATAAAAAAATAGTATAATCTTTAATAGTATTATTTGTAAAAATCTTGATTTAAAAAAGTAAACTTGAAGCAAATGATCTGTAAGACAAAAAACTTTTAGATAAAAAGGGTTTATTAATCTGTTTATCAGTTGATTTAAGTATGAAGTTATATTATATTAAAATTATTAAATTAATAATATAAAAAAATTTATAAAAATAGACAAAACATTAGTTAGCTTATAAAAAAAAATACTAAAGTTATATAAATTCTATAAGAATATAACAGTTTAATAATTAGACTTAATTGTACTAGTTATAATGATACTAGATTAATTATAAATAATAATATAAAAGATCTTAGAAAGTTTATTTTAAAGATAAATTAGTTTTAAGATTAAAATAAAAATCTAAACATAATTTAGTAAAGTTAATATAAATATATAAATTTAAAAAATTTAAAATAAAATATTTAAACAGAAGTATTAAATATGATAATTAGTAAAAAATCTTTAAATAAATTTTTTAAATAAGTAATATTTTTTTTAACTTTAGCAGTTATGTTAGTACTTTATTAGAATTTTTGAAACTATACAAATTATATAAAATTTTTTTAATATATAAGTCTAGCATTACTTAGCCATCTAAATGATACCTAAATACAACCTGTTGCACTATCCTAGTTAGAGATAAACTGCTTGTCTGACTGCTATCTTACAATAGGTCATTGCTTATCTGATAACACATTTTTATAAAAAAGCAAAAAACAAAAAAAATTTGTTATATAAAAACAAAACAGAGATATAGAAATTAAGAAATAAAAAGAAAAGAAAATAAATGAAAAAAAAGGAAATATGTAAAACTTACAATTTACAAATATCAAACAGTTACAATTGTATGCCTGTGTTAGGTTTTTAAAAAGTATAAACTATACTAAATAAAAATAACTTTACTATTTTTCTATTTACTTAGATTATTTAACAAAAAACTATATAAAAAGAAAAAAATTTTTAACTTGATTGTAGAAGGTTGGTATAGAATACTAGTTAGTTCAAAGACAGTATTTTTAAGTTTTTAGTATTTTGAGGCATATGTATAGTTATGTTTATATTACTGTATTGTTTTTGATCTATGTCATTAACAAACTTGTTTAAGAAGTAAATACTGTTTACTATTTTGGTAGTTTTATATATCAATCTTTAGAAGAAGGTAAGCTAAATCACCTACTTTTTACAAAATTTTCTTAAAACAAAATAAAGATAAAAGATAAACTAACTTTGTAGCTTTTATAAATTTTTAATCTTTATAAGTATTTCTTGTAGATTTTATAGTTGTATAAAACTAATATATTCAACTTTGTTGTTTACTTGATAAAAAACTTTAGTTTTTACTAACTACTTCTTTTATAGTCTCAAAATGTGTTTAAACCATCATTACAAAACTGCAACTTCTTTTTTAACTTTATTTAAATATTCAACTATATGTATATAGTACTCTGAAAAAGTTTTTATCAGATTTAATATATTAACTATATTATTTTTTCTATAGTTTGGCTTTTTGAAAAGTTTGGTTCAAATGATTATCAGAAAGAGTATTTGTAATTTTTTGTAAATAAATAATATTAAAAAGTTATATATGTAACTAGTTGTATATATTTTCTGTAATAGTTTTTTTTTTTAGTATTAAGATAACTTCTTTGATCTTTTGATTTTTATTAATAATTTTTTTGATAATATGTTTTTATAAACCATTACAGAAAGAGTGTACAATTGACTATAAGTATAATTTTTTTATATTATATATCTATTTAAAAAATCTGTTTAAAGGTTTCTACTAATTGCTATAGCTAATACTTTTGCTTAAATATTCTATTTTAAATCTTTTGAACCTGTATTTGTATTAACATTACTGAGTCATTGTTTTAATCATAAAACTATTTTATCTCTGAATTAAACCTCTTAGAGCCTTCTGTGACTATTTTTATAGTTGATTTAGATATTGCTATAACAGAACCAACACTTGTGATTAGAGTTATTGTCTAAAATATAGCAATAAATACTTACTTTCTATGTACTATATAATATAAAAGTTATGTTTTTGATATATTTTGAATATAAAAAAATTTGGGGTGTGGTGACCTAGTGAAGTGGTCAGGTTGTTAACTCCCCAAGTGGTAGGTTGGGTGTTCAAATCCTATCGACGGTAAAAATTTGGATAATCACCTATGTAATATTTGTATTATGATAACTGTTACTAATGATTGGGTTAAGATATCTGTAATGGCAGTTGCACCAGCATGACTGGCAGGTCATGGGGCATCTGTGCAATGTTGGAGTTATACAGAAAAATGCAAACCGACATATCGGGTAGTACAAACACTGGATAAGTCCTTATAGCTGTGTAAATCTGTTAAAATTGGGTAACAAGAAGTCCATTTGGGAAGACCCGAGTAGAGAGGTAGCTAGATCTTCAATGGCCCTCTGTAAAGACTAGCTCAGTGAAATGGATACCTAGGTCTAGTACCTGGTTCTAGTAGCTGGACAGGCAAGAACCTCTAGATTAGGAGTCTCAGAAATACCACCAACTAGGCTGCTGGAATGAACTAGAGGAAAAAGATATTAGGCTGACCCGATATACTGATGGACTGGTCATAGTCCTACACAGGTTATCTGGATTGGGAGTCTGATAAAAAGGTAGGAGAAAAGGCAGGAGTATACTAAAATACCGAGGTTATGCTATGAAGTAGATGCTGGGGTCTAAGTAAATTCTACAAGGGCATAGTGATTTAATGATTAGCCCTGATCGCAAGTGTTGGTTCTGCTATAGCGATACCTAGGTCAGCTGTAAAAATAAGTACAGAAGGCTCTGGGAGGTTTACCTTGAGGATAAATTAGTCCTAAGGTTGAAGATGATGATCTGGTACATTTGAGATGACTAGTGATATTAATACAGGTTACAGGTTCAGAGGGTTTAAAGTGAAACACCCAAGCAGGAGTATTAGGTACAGCAATTGGGAGGGAACCTTCAGACAGACTTCTTAAATAGGTAATATAAAAAAGTTACATATGTAGCTAATTGTACACTCTCCTGTAGTAGTTTATTAAACCACAATACCAATAAGTGATTAATAAAAGTCAAAAGACCAAAGAGATTACCTTAATACCAAAAAAATAAAAAATAAAAATATTAAAATTCTATTATACAAACTTTTTTCTTAGTAGCCATGTCTATATCTGCTTAGTTTTTAAATAATACTATTATATAACTTCTTAGTTTTTCTTATCTATTAGATAAAATATATACTGGCATTGCTTTTTTGACTTTAAGCTTTTTTACTAAATTAATTTAAAAATTCTTTTTAGTATTTTTTTCAATCTTGCTATAAACTGGTTTTTTTATTTTTTATTTTTATTTTTTACTTTTTATTATTCTTGTTAATTTTCTATTTTTTAAAGAGATTATTTATAAAAATGCTTGTTTATCTTTTTTTTATTATTTTATTACTGCTATTATTCT